GGGATGCAGCATCCAACGCCTTGATCGCAAGCGTGGAGGGCATGATGAACAAGTAAGACTCAAGAAAGGAGGAGCGCCGACGTTTCAAGGCGGAGCAAATGGACGCTTTCATGGAGATTCAAAGGAGGAGGCTTGAGATGAATGCGGAGAAGCAAGCCAAGATGTTCAAGTTAGAGGGGAGAAGCAAGTCAAGATGCTAGATAGCGAGGCCGCCAACACCAAGACCAAGGCGAAAGAAGTGGCTCTCACGAGCATGATGGCCGGGGTGAAGATCATGAAGGTGGAGATCATGATGACCGCGAGCCTTTTTTTTAAGAGTTGAGTGCGGACATGAAATGGGTCGGCGCGTTGGACGCACTGCCGACCCAAATGCAAAATTGGGCGGACGCCGGGCGGCCGATCCAAACGGACAAAACGCGTATCCGTTTGGGTTGACCCGTTAGAGTTGCTCTAATTGAGACGTTTCAATTGCTTCATGCTACACGTGTGACACTTATCATTTGAGTTTCTTTTGAGAATCCAGTAAACTGTTTTTTAGGCACATAGTTTTTGCGGCATCTCTAACTGGGCTGGCCTATAGCTGGCCAAATGGGCCAGTTTTTTCGGGCCGGCCCGTGAGCACGCCGGCACGGCCCGCCTTGGGCCAGGCACAACACGGGCTAAACGGGCCGGGCCCGGCACGCGGCACGTCCTGGGCCGTGCCTGGGCACGCGGGCCGGCACGGCACGGCCCGATTAAGTTTTTTTTATTTTTCTACATCTATATATGGCCCAACATGTAAAAATAGACTAAAAAACGCTCGATGCGTCAAATAATAGGTTGAAAATATGCGGCCCATCGTGCTAAACGGGCCAAGGTGCCGACCCGTTTACTAACTGGGCCGTGCCTGGGCCTGGGGGCGCAGCACGCGGGCCGGCATGGCACGGCCCGTATAGTAATCGTGCCCTTGCGGGCCGTGCCGGGCCAGGCATGATTACGATGGGCCGGGCCGTGCCGGGCCGGGCCGGTCCGTTTGGCCAGGTATGGGCTGGCCCACAATACGACGGCCTCTCCCCCGCGGCCGCCTCGTGCTCCCTCGGCACCACTGAAAAAGAAAGACCTGTGCTCCCTCGGCCGACGCCGCCATCGGGAGACGGCCGGCGAGCATCCCCATCACAGTCCCCTCCCCTGCCCCGACGCCACGCGCGGTTGCCGGTGAGACTGGGGATCTAGCGCCCTCACCGCCACCAGCTCTGCGCTGCTGTTGATCGGCACCACGCACACGCAGATCTCATACCCCATCTCCACCGCTTCTGGAGATGGGGTTCGACGCCTTCGCGGCAGCGTGTTGTGCTATTCCAGTACTCGTATCCGTTCTCGCCGTCCGCGTCGCCTACGTGCTTTGCCGCAGCGGCCTACCGCCGTCGAGGTCTCGTGCCTCCGGGCTGCGGTGTCTCATCGTCCTCGGGTCTGGTGAGTACATCATGGCCTTCAAACTGAAATTGTCAATTTTACTACAGAGAACAGTGTCCAAAGCGATGCCTTGAGTTGCACCGAGATGACAGGATAGTAAATTCCAACGGGAATTGTTACCATGATCGACAATTACTCTCCTAACATTTGTGCAGTTGTTTTGCGGGCGTCTAGATTTCTTATTGCTCAATGGTGTTTCTGGCTTTGTAAGCAACTCCTGTGCTACTAATTTGTAACCTTGACGGAAATTTTAGGGATAACACATTGCAATCTTTGACCTAGGATAAAATTCAGTCTATATTTCCCATGCCATACGGGTGATTCATACACAGATCAAACCATCTTTAAGAAACAAGATACCTAGTTTTTTTTCCCAATTAGCTTGTATATTGCACAGTATTTATTTAGACAACTGGGAGTGTACTCATTGTTTTCTAGTACAAGTTGCTACCGGTTTTGCTATGAATTTTTACTACCGACCAACCGTTACAGAGGCTTTTTCCCGGTTCAATACATAATAATTCTTCCTTAGATCCCTTCTTTTACTCCGACAGTATTGCGGATCACAATCGATGCAAAGAAAATGAATGCATTTCCATATACTATAATAAAAAGGTGAGTGGAATAAATAGAGAATTGGACCATGCCACGTGACTTATTCCATTTCTACTCTAGGGGATCGTATGGAGCCTGTTCATGGATGACATGATTGCGGTATGATCATAGAAGATATTCTCCTCAAGTGAACCAGCTATCCTTCATAGGTAGGGTACTTGCATGTTGGTTGGATGCGGAGACACCCTTGGTTGTGAATTCTAATGTGGCAGATCCAATTCTGTATCTGCATGGCCAAATCAATAATTCAAGTCACACACACTCCCACAATCTGCCTTTTTTCTTTTGTAAAATTAACTTCAACTATTTGTATTGTATTAAAATACTTTGGAGTTGAAGAGAACTCAGAGTTAAGAAATCACTTGTAGCTTTATAAAGCACCAGCTTATGTTCTCCACATGTTGTAGATTGCCTTTTCCTTTTTCTTCTATCTGACTCGATATTGTACTGAGGTTTGCAAGCTAAATATTCTACCTCCTCCCACTTCACTTGCAAATGATGCTGTTGTTGGCTTGTTGCCAATGTGCTGGTATCACTACCACCTCACCATGGATACATTTCATTCCAGCTTTTGTCTCTCCATAGTTTGCACCGGTCCATGTCTGGTTCTAGTGCAAATATGACATTTATTGTATAAATAATCATTTAGGACTAAGCAGGTGTGTATTCGTTCTGAGAGCCCAATTATGTGTCCAAATGTTGTTATTTTCCTGTCAATACATTTGATCACAGTGTACTTACATAAGCACAACTAGAAATATCAGTTACGTATTCACCAAGAAACTATTAGGTTGTCATTATGTAATCATAACTGCCCACAGCAGAATATATCATTACATTCACCTATTAATTTTCATGTCCCTTCCGCAGGAGGGCATACTGCAGAGATGATGAATATTGTATCTGAGCTTCAGAAGGATCGCTTTACACCTAGGTACTATGTGGCTGCACTTACTGATAACATGAGCCTTCCAAAGGCACAGGTCTATGAGAAGTCATTGATTCATGTGGAGGTCAGTTACCTTGCTATATAAAATTACGATATTATTTGCAAGTCTATGAGAAGTCATTGATTCATGTGGAGGTCAGTTACCTTGCTATATAAAATTACGATATTATTGCAAGTAATTCTAGTTTTGCTTATGACACCAATGATGCCTTTTTAGGGTGATAGAGAAATGATCATCGAGAACGCCCAGTTCATGCAGATATATCGTAGCCGTGAAGTGGGCCAATCCTACATTACCTCCATCGCAACAACACTGCGTGCTACTTTGCATGCTATGTGGCTAATAATAAGAATCAGACCACAAGTGGTGTGCATTCTTCAAACTTATTAGCACCCATTACACCATATGAGTGCAGTTATATTATACTAATTGCTTGTAACACCCTTGTAGATATTTTGCAATGGTCCCGGGACATGCATCCCTCTATGTGCTTCAGCTTTTCTTCTGAAGGTAACTTTACATCCTATGTTCTACTCCCTCTGTTCCTAAATATTTGTCCTTTTAGAGATTTCAAATGGACTATCACATGCGGATGTATATAGACATATTTTAGAGTGTAGATTCGCTCATTTTGCTCCGTATGTAGTCACTTGTTGAAATCTCTAGAAAGACAAATATTTAGGGAAGGAGGGAGTATATAGCTCAGTACAAGATTTATGTTTGAAGCACCACAGCATTTGTAGTACCTTTTTGTTTATCATAGAACGAAAACTAGGACAGTAGGGTATCAATACTGTTATAAATCTGTGTTTGCTATAAACCCAATGATAACACTGTTTTTTTGCCCTAAATAATAAGTCAATGCAATGCTTAAAATTTTCTATCGAGTACTTAATTGTTATATTCTTGCAGGTGCTTGGTCTGGGATGGTCCTCCATTTTCTACATTGAAAGTATCGCAAGAGTGAAGAAGCTTTCGTTAAGTGGTTTACTGTTGTACAAGCTACGGATGGCCGATCAGTTCTTCGTGCAGTGGCCCCAGCTGCAACAAAAATACCCTAGAGCACAATATGCTGGCCGTTTGATGTGATGATTCACCCGTAAATGATATTTGGGACACCATCGTTTCCAACTCTGAAGATCTTGAACATGCTGAGGTGCAGTTGAATACTTGAATTGACACACCCTACACGCCTGTTTCGCCAGAAACTTTTTTACTTGTTGGTATAGGCTTGCACCTTTCTTAGGATATATATATATATGTATACTCATCAAAATTGTCTTTCAAGGCTGACCTATTGGCTGGGGAATAGAATGTTCCCTCTCAGATAGTCAGATATACCTTGTAGGCTGTGACTCTGCAGAGTCAAGTGTAAACCTCATCCTGTAAGTTCCAGCCGCATTCTATTTGTCAGTGTTGTGTCGTTCGTTACATTTATCATGCCTCGTTGCTGGCCTCAAACGTCACCAGAGGGAAAACTGCTGTTTTCTTTCCTTTTTTGATAACAGGGGAAGAATTGCTGTAATCTGAAGGATAATACATAGTATTTGATCATCAGGATTTCTAAAATTAAATTATCAGGAAAGAAAGAGAATTTTCCCAGGAATACATTGATGGCATACAAAAGGCCCAAGTCTGCAGCGGCGAGCCACACACGCAACGAGGCAAAAGCCCAGGCCTGCATCGGCGACAAAATGCAATCGGGGACGCTCCGCGACACGAAAGGACACCGTGATCCACGTCACCGCCTGCCCCTCTTTATCCACCACGGGTTTCTTAAAAATAAACAGCGGAGAATAAAAAAGAGGAGAGGAGAGGGGAGAAGAAGAACACCCTCCGATCCCACACCCACCCCCGCCCTCGCGATCATCCCCTCCCCCCCTTGGACAGGTCTCCCGAATCCGGAGCCCCCAACGCGCGCGGCGGGACGTGTACCGACGGGCGGGGCACAGAGAGGCCGGGGGTGATGAGTTGTTACGCTGCATGGACGGAGCAATCGAGGAGCCTCTCCACAAGGTGAGCAGCCGCAACCCGTAAGATAATCTCCGGTCGTTGTTCTTGCCATCTTCAACAGAGAGAGATCGAGTATCTTAAGCTTTTAGCTTGGGGGAACTTCGGTTCATGGATCTGTAGCTCCTGTTGGTTTATGATTATTACTGGAATGAGTATAGTAGTACTGGTTTGCTTTGGCCTCGCTGGGGGGAGGAGCAGTGTACTGTTTGGTTAGTAGTTACATTTAGGCGTACTGATCTATGGCGGGCGATTGGTCAAATTCCAAGTGTTTATCTTGTTGCTCATCCATTTGTGATATGTGTAAGGCAGCACCCCTGTTTATCTAAACATTGTTTACCTAAATTAGTCCAAGCTGATCGATGCATCTATTGCCTAATCGATTTGCTTGTTTGAGTGGTTGAAGAAGTTTTTATCTACTTACAGAAAGTAGGTTTATGGAAAACTCTGCTGCTTCGGCTGAATATATTATCGTTTGCAAGTGCCACCTACCATGGGAGATTTGTATCCAAACACTCAAACTTTTGGATCGACTGTGGACTGTGATATGAGCACTCCTTGTCGACCCTTGTTGCTGTGCTGTAGACTATGTATGGTAGTTAAATTTAGGCATACTGATCTGTGGTGAGCGATTGGTCAAATTCCAACTATTGTATGTTGCTCATCCATGTTTGGTATGCGTAAGGCAACATCCCTGTTTAGGTTCACCTTGCCTACCTAAATTAGTCCTATTTTTGTTAGAAAGCTGATCGATGCATTTGTGGTGTCTATGTGCCTAATCGACTTGCTTGCTTGGCTGCTTGAAGAATTTTGCATTGAGTTGCAGAAACTAGTTTTCTGGAAAACTCTGCTGCTTCGGCCAAATATGTTTATCATTTGCAAGTGCCACCTACTATGGGATTTTGTATCCAAATATTTGAACTTTTGGATCGGTCGTGGACTGTGATATGAGCACCCCTTGCCGATCTCTGTTGCTATGCTGTAGACCATCTTATGCATAACCTGAATATGCATTACCATCTACAACTCGAGTGTGATGTGGTCCTATGGACTATCATGCCATTCATGTATAGGGAAATGGTCGCAGTATACTTTCTTGCATAGTTATACTGACCTGTCCATTTAATCCATCTTATCATTTATATCATTTCATAGAGTTCATCTGTGATGACAGGACTATTACAAAGTTCTGGAGGTCGATTACGATGCATCTGACGACAACATCAAACTGAGTTATAGAAGATTAGCGCTGGTAAATCTTATGCCCTGCTTCTCTTCTGCGAACCACTACCATGTATTGTCTACCCAAACAAAATTATAGATTAACTCACTGTAAGTGGTGTCTCATCTCCAGAAGTGGCACCCCGACAAGCATAAGGGCGAGGATGATGTCACAGCTAAATTTCAGGAGATCAACGAGGCTTACAAAAGTACTGTTCAAGTCTGTTATTTTAGGCACCGATGATACCTTTTGTCCCTCTATTTTGTACCGATAAGAATGGTGGCAGGGTCACACTTCACTATACACAATTCTGAAAACTTCTTTTACCTAATGCACTGTATTGTCTTTCCAGTTTTAAGTGATCCAGTTACACGGCTTGAGTACGACTTTTCTGGCTGTTACGAGGTCAATCAATATACTGCACGTGTAAGAGCTCTTCTTTACTAGTTTTCTGATTCTTATTATATGTGCTTTCTGTTTAAGTTTGCTATATTTTCCTGTATTTTAGGAGTACCTTTCAAGATTTAAGGGAATGATACTTACCTGCAATGGCCTTGGCATAGAGCATTCTTCAAAATGGTAAATGCAATTCAGCTGAACTCAGATGCCTAATTGTTTGTTTCAATGCATTTCTGGCCTGCTTATATTGGTAGCATGTGCGCCTCAGAGAGTGTTTTTCGTATCACGCTGTTGACGTTGTGTACTTATGGTTTTCAGGGCACGACATTTGAGGGAATGGGAGCCCCATTGATCAATAGGTACAGCATGTTTATTCCCGAACTTGTTCAGTAGTGTCTCTGATGGCGATTCGGCATGTATTTTGTTCTTCTGTAACTCCGCAATGGAACCTGTCATGTGCCCTCGCACTTGTGCTAGAAAGAGATACATGTTTGCTATTTCCATCGGTCATCTGGTTATTTACTCTTTGACTTGTCACAAGCATGGTGGTAATAGTTCCTTTTCAGCATAAACCACAACTAAGAATAAAGAGAAATATGTTTCTTTCAAGGAAAGAGAACAACATATCGTGTAATCAAGTATGTGTACCTGATAGAACAACAGAAAAGGAAGTTTTTGGGCGATTGCGCCGTCAGAAAATCTGTGACAAGCTAAATGCGATAAATGAGCGTTGATCATCAAGCTCTCCACGATAGTCAGCCACCAGGAAGGCATAGAGATACCTAGATGAAACATAAGAGCAAGTACAACAGGAATTGAACCTAGGAAGACTGATCATCAGTCCACGGTGTGAATGGGGCACACTATGTTGGTGTTACCATTTCAAAAATTTCCATTCAAGTTTGTGCACCGTTTTGGTAACAATACATGTATATAATCACCTAATTGCAAATCCAGGTGTGTAAAAGGAAATAAATCTATTTGGTCCATAGTGCAACATACTGAAAGCAGATATGAATTGCAATTTGTAGCAGAGCCCGTTTTTAAATGTTGAACACAGTGGTTGTACAGACTAAAGAAGGGCAAATTCTGCTCCAATGGCATGTACTAGCTATGAGCTGCTTTGAAGTAGGAACCATAAAGAAACACACATTTTTTTCGAAACGGAAGAAACACACTTTTCGTCTGAAAGGAGAAGCCTCATTTGGCCAACAAGGGGAATGCTCTAGCATGGTAACCAGCCGTAGGACCTTTTTTTTACCGAAACACACAGCAAGTAAATCACTGATCTTTTGAGCCCTTATTCTATTCATGATCATGAACCCCACTGCTTTGACCTGTAAAGTCCCAGCTGAGATAATCGCCCACTGTGGACAGGTGAGCTGCACTTGTACTATTATAACAGAGGAAAAAAGAGGGTGTCACCGTCTTCTAATTATAATCTGGAACATGGACTGCGCTCTAGACCTCTCTCTGTGGCCCGTGGTTCGTCGTAGGGCCTCGTTTTCGAGTGGAGGCGGACGGACGATGGAATCGGACAGCGGCGTGGGCTTTTGCCGTACTGCAGCCTTGACGAGCAAGCCAATATCATGCTGGTGTCAGAATGAATTGTCCCTGCCTTTCTCTTTTTCCTCCCTCGGTTGGATGAGTCGTCTGATAAAATGAAAAATCGATCGCCATGTAATGTAGAGTACTCATGGACAAAAGCTGCATCGGTCCATTTCGCTTCGAGGCAGCGATCCAGGACCAGACAACGGCTGCGGCCAGCCATGGTCGCTCGATGCGTCTGCCTGCTATAGTAGACATCTACGCTAGGGCCAGCTTAATGGACTGTACTACCACCTGCACGTTTTGTTCGCACGACACGATTATGCTTGGAGGGGGCCAGGTTTCGGGCCAGGCCAACAGTGCCTCACGCTGGCATTTCCCACACATTCTAAACAAAATCTATAACCTGGACGTTAGCACGGGGATCTGATTGATTCTGAACCACAGGAGCAGCACGCGTGTAACGTTAGCCTCACCGGAATGCCCGGCATCAGTGAAACTGTGGATAGTAAAGCAGCCGCGTGACGCGACGCTCTCCGCCGTAGCGGCCAGCGGGTGGCACAGCTCGCGGGCAAGAGTCCAACGGGGCGCACAGGGGGGAAGGCTCGTCGCCATCGACGCGCTTCCGTCGGGCGTCCACACTCGGGGCGACGAGGACGTGGCGCCTACCGGCCGCGTCGAGCCAGCAGAGGGTTCGCGTCCCCGGACGCTCGCGACGAATGTGCCACTCTCGCTCGCAACCTACTGATTGCTGACAGTTCTTCTCTTGTTTTTGGTTTGGCAAAAGATCGATGAACAGCTCAGATGCTGTCTCACCGAAACCAACTTTCTCCTCCCTGCATTTTATCTCTACAGCATCTATCCTGTATAATGATTTAATTTTTGGTCTATGAACATCTCCGAAAGATTCCACGAACAAAGCTTGAACTGCTGGGCAATGATTACCTAATCGGCGCAAATAGTGAGCTCGAAATCATTTCGACGGGAGTTGAAACAACAGCCCGCGGTGAACCTGTACTAGACCACAACGTGAAGAAGAGAGCTCACTGCTCAATGCGCTGCGTTTGCCGTCGAGGCAGCGGCGGGCGGGCGACAGGGCCAGTGCACTAGACCAGGCAGTACTGAGCGAAGGGCCCTCTCCTTCACCACTTGCAACGTAGGCGAGCGTGTGCTGCACGGGCCCACATGTCGGCGAGACGAGGACAGTGCGCTCGAGCCGCCCTATTCCTAGTCCTGAACCTGCTCCACCCAAAGCAGCACGACTAGACCAGTGTGTACGACACACAAGCTGCTATCCCGTCACGTACTAATCGCCTAGTACACAACATGAAAAGCTCTAGATAAATGGAGCAATGAACGCCGCCGCACCGGTGCTTTTCACCTTTCGATCGACGCTAATGATAGTGGTGCCGTCGTGCTGCTTAACTGCTGATCGATGTCGTGCTGGTAGTACCATCGTGTTTAACTGTCTCACAGGCCTGGGTTTTCTAATTTTTATCCTGAATACCGAAAAAAAAAGACAATCAAGGATGCAATGCAACGAAATTGCAGATTCACAAATGGTGCTGGAAAGAAGGTAGCGCAGATCAAATCGGGGAGCTTAAAATGTCCAATTTGATGGTACTACACGGTGGAGCAGCAAGTGTACAGACAGGACACCGAGGGACAACAAAAGCAGGGAGGAAATGACGCCGCCCAGAGGGTAATTGAGCGCATTGCGCCCAGATCACAGGCTTTCGGTTTTTAATCTAGCTTAAACATCGTATCACATTAGCACGCGAGCCACAAAAGTGGAAAAGAAGAACCCCCATATAGTTAATTGATTATATTATAACCACTTCCTAAAAGGAAAGCAAGAGACAGATCCCCCACTGGTGGCGAGGAATCTCACCCCCGCTCCGGCATGCTCGCCGACGACCTCCGGTGCCGGAACGCCTTCATGGGGCTCGGGAAGTGCCACCCCCACCGCGCCTTGGTCGCCGCCGCCTTGGCCGCCACCGCCTTGGCCTCCACGGCCGTCGCCGAGACCGAGCTGGACCTCGCCAGCCCCAGCCTCTCCTCCTCGTCCTCCTCCGCCGCGCTCCCGTCCTTGGCAGAGGACCTCCAGAACGGCGCCCACCCCCAGACCCTCGCCTTTCGCCTCCCGGAGGCGGAGGCGGCCGCGGCGACGGAGGCCATCGCGGCGGAGGAGGACGCGGCGACGGAGCGCGAGCGCGCCACCCGGTGCTCCCGCTCGATGAGGCTGTGCACCCGGCCGACGGCGTCGCCGGACGCCGAGGAGGAGGAGGACGGGGAGGCGCAGGTGCAGGGGCAGGGCCGCACGCGCGCGCAGTTGGGGCAGAGCCGCAGCAGCCGGTCGCGGAGGCAGTACGGGCACACCCCGCCGCCGGATCTCGCCGCGGGGTGCTTCCGGCACCGCCACTCGTCGCCCCCGACGGCGGCCGCGGCCACCGCTGCCTTCTCCGCCTTCATCTCCCTCCGTGCGGTTGCTCTCGCTGATGACTCGCTCGCTCTCTCTCTCTCTCTCTCTCTCTCTCTCTCTGCCTCGCGCTTCTTGGCAAGAGAGTGGAAGGAGGGGGGCGTTACGGATACGAACTCACAGCGTCGCCGGAGTGTGTAATAAAGGAGGCACCGGCGGGGCTTAACGGCGTGTGGTTTTCCGGGCACGGAGAGAAGGCACGTAGCTCGCGGTTATTCACGAAGGTGCCATCGGGTACAGCTGGGCAGCGGTTGCCGCGGGATCTTCTGCGGTTGCACCTCAACTTGCTATAGTCTACTAGAACAGTATGACAACGCATCATTCAGGACGTGTAGATCACACATCTGACTGAGCAAAGAATCAGCTTCCGATTTGTTTGTACTCCCTCCCTCCGGGCCTTTTTAGTTCGCATATAAGATTTGATTGAAGTCAAGTCTCGTAAAGTTTGACCAATTTTATAAGAAAAAGTATCAATATTCACAATCTGAAATCAATATAAAAAGATGTGTCATGACTTAAAGTTTCATAGTATTGTATAACTTTAGCATGGCAGATGTTGATAATTTTTCATATAAATATGGTCAAATTTTATGAAATTTGACTTCAGAGAATTCTAATATGCAGAATAAAAATGACCGGAGGAGTACTAGCACAAATCTCCACTCTGATTCTGAGCAACGGCGAGGAGCACCTACGGTGTCGCCGGCCGCAGAGGATCCCGCTCGGGCTCGAAAGATAAGGCTGCCCGCGCACGTGCGGGGCGGGAATGAGCCGTGCTGGGGTCAGTTACGATGGGCCCGCCTGTCGGTTTACGACGATGCGACCGAGACGGCTGTTCCTTTATTTCTCTCGATTAATTAATTAATTATTAAATGGAACTTTGGTGCCCGTGTGGAGTGCACCTGCCTGCAGAGTCACCGGTTGCAATCTCGCAGATCTGGTTCGTTGCGCGGATCGTAGTTATCGCGTCTAGTATTCTACACGCACGGGAGCGGGGCAGCGCAGCGTATCGCCGTCGAGGTGCTGTCCGCTTCTGCACGTGTGGTTGACGAACGGCGTCGCCTGTGTCGGGGCGCAGAGCCGTGTTGTCTCGCCTTCGGGCGCCCGGCAAAGTCAAAAGGATTTAGGCGACCATTCTGCATTTTTTGAGATTTATTACCACCTTCGAGGTGTTAAGATTAGTAGTAACTCTTACTGTATTCTCTAAAAAAAGAGATTAGTAGTAAGTACGAGGAGTGCACTTCTGCATCACTTGTACTACTAGTCGGTCTTGTGCAATACTAAAAGAAGAAATAAACAACATTTCAAAAAAAGAAGAAGAAATAAACAAGATGCACACTCGTTCGCTCTCAAATCGCGCGCCAACGCCGCTGAAAGAGACCGATGCTAAAAATTCTCCCCCGTCACAGGTAATCTGGATGGTGCCCAAGATTCCGTCTATAGTTTAATTGCCAAACGTGTCGGCAGAAGGGAGATCAGAGATTAATCTTTCAGGTGTACGTATGCCTTGAAGGAGTTTGTCCTAAACACTCCGATCGAGCCTGTCATGTCTCTATCGGCATCGGCATCAGTCTTGGTGCGATTATTACGTGAATAATATAGCAACTGACGCAGTTTGGTATAGTATTCCGTTAGAGATAAAGTGTTACGGTGACGTGCTGATCGATTGCAATCATTGAGTAACACTGCTCTTTGCACACGGGGGGCAGGGAAACCTTCAAGGTTAAGATAGATGAACCAACCGCCAACTAGGAAGGTTAAGAAAAAGTGTTACGTTCCTCAAAAAAAGAAAAAGTGTTACAGCGACTGCTCCCTGCTTCCTAAAGTTTCAGGGGCGGATCTTAATAAGCAGTTCCGACCCATCTCTTTGATCAATGTAGGTTTCAAACTACTACCTCTGTCAAGAAATATAAGAGAGAATCACTACTTCAGTGATCTAAACGCTTTTATATTTCTTTGTGGAGGAAGGACTCGTCAAGGGGTTTACTATCCGGCTCTCGCTGATGGCACATAGGGTCATTGACTAGAGTCAATCGGCCTTTATTCGAGGAAGAAGCACCCTCGAAGGCATTCCGGTTCTTCACGAAGTGTTGCATACTGCACATATGAATAAGGAAAACATTTTCATTTTGAAGTTAGATTTCGAAAAGGCTTAGGATTGTGTTAACTGGGACTTTCTAGAAGGCGTTATGTGGTGAAAGGGCTTTGATCCACTCTGGGTGAGTTGGATCATGCAGTTGGTTAAAAGTGGACAAACCGCCATCAATATCAATGGGGAGGGAGACCAATATTTTCGTAACTCGAGGGGAGTACGACAAGGTGATCCGATTTCTCCCCTCTTGTTTAATATAGTCGGAGATGCTCTGGCTGTTAGCATAGAGGGTGCTAAGACAACAGGCCATATCCAGGGAGTGTTCTTGGCTATTAATGAAGGTGGAATCACGCATCTCCAATATTCCGACGACACACTGATTCTCATCAAGAATGACCCAATTAGTTTAGCGAACTTGAAGTTCATCCTGATGTATTTTGAGTCCATGTCTGGACTTAAGATCAATTTTGACAAGAGTGAGGTGTATGTCACTAAGGGGAGCTTGGGGGACAGTTGCGTGTTGCTCACATGATGAACTGTAAACTAGGATCTGTTGGGGAACACAATAATTTTAAAAAAATTCCTATGCACACGCAAGATCCATCTAGGTGATGCATATCAACGAGAGGGGAGAGTGTTGTCCACGTATCCTCGTAGACTGTAAGCCGAAGCGTTATAACAAAGCGGTTGATGTAGTCGTACGTCTTCACGATCCGACCGATCCTAGCATCGAAGGTACGGCACCTCCGCGATTTGCACACGTTTAGCTCGGTGACATCCCACGAACTCTAGATCCAGCTGAGTGTCGAGGGAGAGCTTCGTCAACACGACGGTGTGATGATGGTGGTGATGAAGTTACCGACGCAGGGCTTCACCTAAGCTCTACAACAATATGACCGAGGTGAAAATCTATGGAGGGGGCACCGCACACGGCTAAGAGATCAACTTGTGTGTCTATGGGGCGCCCCCTCCCCCGTATATAAAGGAGTGGAGGAGGGGAGGACCGGCCCTCTATGGCGCGCCCAAGGGGGGGTCCTACTCCCGGTGGGAGTAGGATTCCCCCTTTTCCTTGTTGGAGTAGGAGAGAAGGAAGGGGGAGAGAGAGAGAGGGAAGGAGGGGGGGCGGCCCCCCACCCAATTCGGATTGGGCTAGGGGGCGCGCCCTCCACCCAATTCGGATTGGGCTAGGGAGGGCGCACCCTCCACCTTGGTCTTCCTCTCCTCTTTTCCACTAAGGCCCAATAAAGCCCATATACTCCTCGGGGGGTTCCGGTAACCCCCCGGTACTCCGGTAAATGCCTGAACTCATCCGGAACCACTCTGATGTCCAAACATAGCCTTCCAATATATCAATCTTTATGTATCGACCATTCCGAGACTCATCGTCATGTTCAGGATCATATCCGGGACTCCGAACTACCTTCGGTACATCAAAACACATAAACTCATAATACCGATCGTCACTGAACGTTAAGCGTGCGGACCCTACGGGTTCGAGAACTATGTAGACATGACCGAGACTCATCTCCAGTCAATAACCAATAGCGGAACCTGGATGCTAATATTGGTTCCTACATATGCTACGAAGATCTTTATCGGTCAAACCGCATAACAACATATGTTGTTCCCTTCTCATCGGTATGTTACTTGCCCGAGATTCGATCGTCGGTATCTCAATACCTAGTTCAATCTTGTTACCAGCAAGTCTCTTTACTCGTTCCATGATGCAACATCCCGTAACTAACTCATTAGTCACATTGCTTGCAAGGCTTGTAGTGATGTGCATTACCGAGAGGGCCCAGAGATACCTCTCCGATACACGGAGTGACAAATCCTAATCTCGATCTATGCCAACTCAACAAACACCATCGGAGACACCTATAGAGCATCTTTATAGTCACCCAGTTACATTGTGATGTTTGATAGCACACTAAGTGTTCCTCCGGTATTCGGGAGTTGCATAATCCCATAGTCATAGGAACATGTATAAGTTATGGAGAAAGCAATAGCAGTAAACTAAACGATCAAAGTGCTAAGCTAACGGATGGGTCAAGTCAATCACATCATTCTATAATGATGTGATCCCGTTTATCAAATGACAACTATTTGTCCATGGCTAGGAAACTTAACCATCTTTAATTAACGAGCTAGTCAAGTAGAGGCATACTAGTGACACTCAGTTTGTCTATGTATTCACACATGTACTAAGTTTCCGGTTAATACAATTCTAGCATGAATAATAAACATTTATCATGATATAAGGAAATATAAATAACAACTTTGTTATTGCCTCTAGGGCATATTTCCTTCAGTCTCCCACTTGCACTAGAGTCAATAATTTAGATTACATTGTGATGATTCTAACACCCATGGAGTCTTGGTGTTGATCATGTTTTGCTCGTGAGAGAGGCTTAGTCAACGGGTCTGCAACATTCAGATCCGTATGTATCTTGCAAATCTCTATGTCTCCCTCCTTGACTTGATCGCGGGTGGAATTGAAGCGTCTCTTGATGTGCTTGGTTCTCTTGTGAAATCTGGATTCCTTTGCCAAGGAAATTGCACCAGTATTGTCACAAAAGATTTTCATTGGACCCGATGCACTAGGTATGACACCTAGATTGGATATGAACTCCTTCATCCAGACTTCTTCATTTGCTGCTTCCGAAGCAGCTATGTACTCTGCTTCACACGTAGACCCCGCCACGATGCTCTGCTTGGAACTGCACCAACTGACAGCTCCACCATTCAATAAAATACGTATCCGGTTTGTGACTTAGAGTCATCCGAATTAGTGTCAAAGCTTGCATCGACGTAACCGTTTACGACAAGCTCTGTGTCACCTCCATAAACGAGAAACATATCCTTAGTCCTTTTCAGGTATTTCAGGATGTTCTTGACCGC